CCACCCTGCATCCATTTGGGACTGGGCATGATTAAGATCTTCCAATGATGCCAGTGAGAGAACAAAGTCATACCCCAGCTCCCACAGCAGTCCTGACAGCGGGTACAGCTGTGGAGGAGAGCAAATGAAATCAGAAACTGGCTGCAAAGCACTGATCAAGTTTAGTGCCACTCGACTAGGGGGATCAGAATGACTTTCAGTGCCACTGCATCCATTTGGGACTGGGCATGATTAAGATCTTCCAATGATGCCAGTGAGAGAACAAAGTCATACCCCAGCTCCCACAGCAGTCCTGACAGCGGGTACAGCTGTGGAGGAGAGCAAATGAAATCAGAAACTGGCTGCAAAGCACTGATCAAGTTTAGTGCCACTCGACTAGGGGGATCAGAATGACTTTCAGTGCCAGCCAGTCACTGCAGGTAGGCTAGTGTAGCAGGCTGAGGTCCACCAGCAGCCGACCTAACTAGGATAAATAATGTCTTTGCTTTATGATTTTGCTCCTTGAGCAACAAAACCAGAAGGTTCTGGTCTTGATTGAATATATATATGTTCTCATGAGTGATCTTTTACTCCTGAGGTTCATAAAATGTTTTCATTTGTAAATATAATCCCAGTTAACACTCCATATGCCAAAATACTTCTCTTTGAGAGAAATCTTCGAGAGCTGGAGTGGATGGAATAATGGTGGTCTGAACTACAGATTCTGTGAGCTGATCTGTAAATATTTAAGAAATTTGGACTACCTTCTGACATTTTCCAGAAAGAAAATATTAGCTTCTAAAATTCTGTAAGACAGGTTTCAGTCCAATCCATTACCAAACACATAGTGATCAATCAAGTGACATTTTACCAACCTTGCTGTATCTGTGAGACTCTCATTAGTGCCCAGGTGTATGTCTTGTGTTGTAAGGAAGGAAGAATGCCCTCCAAGGAGAGCAAATCCTACAGTGAGAACAAACAAAACAAAAGAGAAATTAAACACCAGCACCTCTTATTTACAGTGAAGATTCAAAATCTTCTTCATGTGAAATACATTTATAGCAATAAAAGTAAAACTCAGCAGGACATCCAAATGTTTCAGACACTTAAAGTCTGACACACCAGATACGACTAAATGTACTTTGGAATAAAACCACTGAAATGTGATGCCTTGCTGAAATCCTCAGGCATGAGTCCTGATCTGTGATCATAGGAACAGTCATTCAAGCTCCAAGGCTACACATTGCTGAAAGCAGCACTGTGGCTCCCTGCTAAGAACCAGGTAATTCATTCATCATGCTGCATTTCTACTTCATGGGACTTAGCATCCTCCAAGGGCCATCCGAGTCACTAGGTGTAATTCCACATCCTTGCACATGTCTAGACTATCTTTCATGTACAGTCACTCAGACAGAAAACCCTAAGAGTCCTCATACACTGTAACTAGCTTGAATTTGGTCACAAATGACCAAGTGCCTTAAAAATGAAAATGTGACAGTGAGGAAAGGAAAGATCTCAGACATGGCCAGCGTCCCTCTGCCATGCAATGGCTTGGAATTTTCAAGGTGATTCAAGGAACAGGATGGATTAGGTCTGAAGAATACAATCCATCCCTGAATAGGAAATAATGAAAAGACCTGAGCATCATTTAAGAGTATAGAACAGTTAGGGGAACTTCAAACGTGTCTGGACAATGTTTTGCATAAAGGCAAATTAATTGCTAAAGGCAACTCTCAGGTTCTCTCTCTCCTGCCTTAGTTTTGTTGCACCACCACTAGAAAACTATCAGAAGTAAACAACTGACACAGACAGGGAGGAAAATCACTTCTTTTCACCAACATTTGAGTCTTTCTGCCTTTGCCTGATTTAAGTCTAAAGTCTCTTTCTACTGAGCCTCAGGATAAAGTCCATGGTGGCCACATACTGGGAGGATGGGGCCTGTGGGGGCTGTGTTTTGAACTGCAATAGATGGTTTAGCATAAGCCTAGCACAGGACACAGTCCTACAGCTGGGGACGTACAAAGTGTAGGATTTGAACTCGGCTGTGGGTAGCCCTGTAAGGCACTTTGTGCTGGGAAAGATTTTTCCACATAAGAACTCCCTTCCAGAGCAGAAATTGTCAGGGAGATCTTGCCCTGTCATTAATATTCATAAGGGAGGAAATTTCCAGAGAACCTTAGTGTGGACAAACCAACCTTGCTGAGACAAGACTGTGGGGGAGTGAACCTTTTATTGTCACAAAAATCTAGAAAGAAGCCCATCTTCTTTGTATTGTCAGGAAGAGAAAGGCTGCACACAGCTCAGAAGAGCAAAGACCCCTTCTCTACTGAACTATCATGTCTCGGAGGTGCTGACAAATTTTGTGCTGTTAAAAGAAAAAAAGAGGAAGGAAAAACTGAGGAAAGAAAAATAAAGTAGAAGAAAAAATGGTTAAATGGTGCTCGGGCTGGTTGTAGCCGTTAGATGGCACTGCAGCCAACTTCAGCACTGCAGCTTCAGCATGAGGGTTGCGCAGACCTGCCAAAAACTGATCTCACTCTGCAAAAAATCATGAAATCAGGATAAAACACTGAAACTTTTCACAGGTAAAACTAGCCAGGTACAGGCAGCAGGCCTGGGCCCTACAGCTGGGCTCCTTATACAGAGCAACCTCTTTAACTTCCATCCCAGCAGGGTTGAGGTCAGGTCTTCCACTTCACATCTCATCAGTTCAGCATCTCTAGAGTTTAAAACGCAATAGGCAATAGATAAAAATAGTACTGGCAAATCATTGTCTTTTAACTGCCTCAATTTCCTTAAAATCCAGATTAAAAATAATGATGATCCAGATCCCACCTGAAAGGCAAATTTCTGCTCTGTCCAGCCAACGCATACTCATTTTGTTGAATGGCCCCATTTCTAACTTTCCCACTGTCATCATTAAGGATTGCTCCAAATCTCAACAAGATTGCAGTCAGACACAGGAAACTTTTAAGAATGAAGCATCATTTATTCTACTATCACTTTTTGTTGTTAGAAAAGGATTATCTATACATTTGTTGGTTTCTTTTACCTTCCCTCTGCAGCTCAGACACAAACACTGTATTTATGGGAATGTGTATGCAAACTGCTGCCTAGACATTACAGCAATAGGCTGAAGAAAGGTGTTTTTTTTATGAAATGTCATTTGCAGTAACTTTTCCTCCCCAACTTCTTGTGTATTTTTTTTGAGTCATATACAGTTATGTCAGTGATTTATCCCAAGTTCCACACAACAGAACAGCTCTGCAATTTAGGCTTCTAAATGCATACACTTTGGTAGATGATTCACAGTCCATGCAGGCTCCCATGAACGTGTTCTGTTTTCTATAAATGGTGTCCAGGTAGAAAAATATGAATTTGGCCATTTATTCAGAGTTGCCAGACGTCAGGCAGCCCAGTCAGACCTGCCACCTGGAGTCTGTGTACCTAGCAGAGTCCTAATGTTTTAGGCTTTCTGCTCATGAACTGGCCATCTGTGCAGGGCCTGGGAACATATTTCCATCCAAAACTTTCCATCTGGAAATACGGGAGCTTTGTGCTCTAGCTTTGTATATAGTTGCAGAGGCAGAATCTTTGCTTGAGATTCTTTCATGCAGACTACTAGTAGGAAGAGAAAGGATGATGACTTTTGAAGATATGCAGGCACCAATTCAGCAAATAAGCACTCACTGGAGTGTTGTGTTAAACTGAGAGATCTAATCCCCTTTGTTATCTTCAACAAACTCCTAAATGTTCATACTGCAGATCCAGAATAGATTATTATCTCATGTCCACACATCTCACTACTGTTAGTTTTCAAAACAGAAGGTTTTATGCCTCATGCTCTTGCACATTATTGGCCCCACTTATGCAAACTCTTTCATGCAGGAGAAGACTGCTGGTGGTTGTACAGACATTCCAGACTGTCCCTGCTACATGGGTTAAGTGGGCCAAAATGAATCCTCTACTTCACATGTTGGATAGACTGTTGTGGGGCTGCCCCACTGTCACCAGGAGACATACAGAGCCATCTTCTCAAACTCCAAGAAAGGATCCTTTTTTATATTTCAAGACCTATGGATTTACATTTATTCATTTCCTCATTGCCTGCCAGGACTTACAGAACAGGAAGTATTTTTCAGTTCAGACTGATAACAAGTAACTCCTCTAGGCAGCAATTACAGAATATTCCTAAAGTAGAAACCTAAAAACTGATAAGCAGTTTTTTGAGGTTTTTTAAAGCTACCTCTCTAAGTGGAGAGCAAGCTAAAACACTGTGCTTGGCACCTCTGTAACGTGGCTAAGCTAATACTTAGCTACTTCCAACAGAAAAAAGGCCCTGTATTCCTGCCATGTAATACCATCCCCACTACACTAGTACCTATGAAATGATGCTATTATTTCTGTGACTGTATGTAGTAGTCTTCAGGCATGGACATCATGTTCCTCTCACCCCACTGTATAAGACAAGTGAGTTGAAAGTAATTCCACTAAAGCCAGTGGCAGTGAACCTCTGCAAAGCTGTTAACACCTTGTATATTCCAGTGCACAACATGAGAAGGTACACTGAGCTTTCCTGCCTGTATTGTTTCCTTTCCATTTCTACCCTGTGACATATTGTCTGCATTCAGCATCTGTGAAATGTTGGATTTATTTATGACTTATTCACCAAAGCATAACTTCAGCTGTATATTTTAAGAGCAAAAGTGACAATCAGAATATTTTACACCAAAGCTGTAACAAAAACAGGGCATTCACCTTTATGCCATGCCTTAGGATGTTTATTTTACAAGTAATATATGACCATGTGGAATACCTTTGTTTTCAAAAAGTACACAAGATTTTATGCAGAATGGGTATGGGATTCTGACTGTGAGCAGATGGCATTTTCCAGTATAATAGCAGAGATGTCACATTTTCCAATATAATAGCCAATGAGAGCAATAAATCTAGGTGGCTCCACAAAACTGGCCTTACTTTGCCACTACTCTATGGAAGTTACTCGGAGTTCTGCATTAAACTTACAACATCACTACTACTCTTAGGAACGATAAAAAATTATGGTTTTCAGAAATGCATGTTAGGACAAGATTATATTTGTTCAAGAGAGTAAAGAGGCAATGAATTATACCCCAGAGTGCTGTACATTATTCACTACAGTCACAGTGTCATCAGAATAAAAAAAGTTCAGAGGCACAGGATGTTGGAAAACCTCAAATGTAACTGTTCTCTTACAATGCATAATAAATTAGTGTTTTGATAGTCTTTGATCGATCTTGATGACTGGGAGAAATGCTCAAAGACTAGAGGAAAGCAAATGTCACCCCTAAGCTACAGAAGGGCAAGAAGGGAGACCCAGAAAATACAGGTCAGCCAGCCTCACCTCAATCTGTGGGGAAGTGTTGGAGCAGCTAATCCTGGACAGCATTTCTAGGGCTGCATTAGACAAAGTACTGCCAGCAGGTGGAGAGGAGTAATCCTTCCTTGTTATTCAGCACTGGTGAGGCCAAACCTGGAGTGTGCAGCTTTGTGCTCCTCAGGATGAGAAACATGGACATGTTGAAGAGAATCAATAGGTCCATGTTAGCAAAGAGTCATGAAGGTGACTAAAGTACTGGAGCATATTTCATATGAGGAAAGGCCAAGAGAGCTGGGACTGCACAGCCTAGAGAAGTAAAGGCTCAGAGGGAATATTATTATATATATAAATACCTGCATGGAATTTGCAAAAAATTTGCAATTTTCAGTAGCTCAGTGGGCACAAAATGAAACATGGGAAGATCCCTCTGAACATCAGAAAACTGTTTTTTACTCAGAGGTTGATTGAGCACTGACATAGGTTGCCCCAGAAGGTTATGGAATCTTCATCCTTGGAGCTATTCAGAAAACTTCTGGACATGGTGCTGGATGATTGGGTCCAGATGCTGCTGCTTCAGCTGAGGGTTGGACCAGATGACCTCCAGAGGTCACTTCAACCTCAACAATTCTGTGATTCTGTTGATGTATTTTTCAATAATGGTGTTCTTTATAGGCATAGGGACAGCAGGACAAGACTTAATATGTGGCAACAGTTTCCTAGACACTGCACAGAGATTTTGTAATTAGTGCTTTCCCAATCTCTACTCCTTCATAACGAAACCCACTGAGTTTGATTTAGCTGTGGCAAAGTTTGTTTAAATTAGCCTCATCACCAGAACCTTGTCCCACAAGTGACCTCCTTCAAGATACTGAAGGTGCAGCTTGTGGGAAATGCTATTTGAGATGACTCAGGAATTCTAAAAATAAACACTCCAATCCACTTCAGTGTCCACTGTCACTGGACAAAATTGGTCTTAAATGAGCTCACTTAGCTAAAAGGAATACATGTGGCCCCACATTTGAGTTAGAAATTCCAAGGGAGAAGTAGTTTATGTTAAAAAAGCAGCTGAAATGTAAAGGCTTTTCATGGACAGAACAAAACTTGAGTCTGCCTTTGAAACAAAGTCTTAGGCTTAAGGGACTTAAGACCAATTAACTGAAGGTGTGAAGGCAATGCACAGAAGTTAAACTGCATTAAACTCCCTTGTGGAAGCTCTCACTCAGAAATAAATTTGGTTTATTTCACTGGAGCTTAATCCCTCTTGGATGAATTTATGTGCATTAATGCCCATCCTTAAGTTAATTCATTTGAACTTCCCTGAGCTTCCCCTTCCATAAGCCTTCAAAACCCAAGGACTAAGTAGTACTTCTGAGTACAGAAGCATGAAGGATAAACAGATTGATAGAATTCATTACCTGTCCATGTACCGGTATGGCTGGCAACTAGAAACTGGACTAAAAACTCAGGAATTAAAAGATGGGTGGTCTTCACAGAGAGGGAATGCACATTCATAAGACCTGATTATCTGGAGGAAACAGAAAGCAATAAGTCTACTGAAAGAACAGGAGCAGCAGGTAAATGGCTGTGCCAGAGGATACACAGGCAAATTCAGAAATGCTTGCAGTTAACATAACTGCTTCTTCCTTCCACATTTTTTACCTTCTCCCTTACACCTTGTAAAGAAATGTGAATACTCAACAAGTTTCCTGTCCCTTCACTAGGGAGAACTCAGTCTAAGGGATGTTGGGACAACTTAAGTGTGAGATGGGCAAGCTTCTACCTCGGTGCATCACCAATTCACAGCTATTCCTTGCTAAAGTGTAAGCACATGAATTATTTATTTCAGTGGTCCCATTGACTTCAGAACAACTGCCATGCAAACAAGGATATCACACGTATGTTTCAGTGTTTTTAGGACTGTATCCTAAAAGAATAATGTTCCAGTGCCTGATCTTATTAGGCTAATACCCTGGAGTCAAGTCATCTTTCCCTGTAGATAATCATGTTGAGTTTTTTCCCCATGATTTATATTAAGGCATTACTGTGATTCCCAGCCTAAACACATACTTTGGAATGTGACAAGGGTAATGCATAATACATTAGAAAAATATTTATTAGAGCTTGCACAGAATTAAATTTGCAATGCTTACTAAAATAGGTGCTAGGAAATGTGCATCTTGCCAGTACAATTGGGGCTTACACCAGAAATGCTTGCTTCTACCTGTTACTTTATTTCTGATCTGTCATGATTTGGAATGGTTTTGTGAGATTTCACTGACCAAAGCAATGGTCTCGTGACATTAATATGCAAGATGAAACACAATTTGCTACCATCCTTTTCCCATTTTTGCTTTCAAACTTTAGGTTTCTCCTCGGCAGAAATTGCTAAATACAAAATTATACAGTGTTTTTCAGTTCATACTCACCATGTACAGTTTCACACAAAACCTGGCTGTGCCATTGCTCAGACCTACCTGTTTCTGCAGATAATCTTGTTCTTGTGCTTCTCTTTTCAAAAATCATGGCCAAAGATTTTCCTTGCATCAAAGGCAAATACTGAAACATGAAAATTGAAGGCATTTCAATTTTATAGTCATTATGCACTTTAAAGTATGTAATAATTCTTTCACATTTTGATTCAGCATTGGAACAGTTACACAGGTGTTTTTTTAACCATAGCTTTGTTCTCCTGACCTTCAATAGATTTGTTAGCAGTGGAAAGGGTAAAGGGAAAGAAGTAGTTCTAGGGGCAAAGACAACTGCATTTTGGCACTGAATTTGAGCTAGCATTAAGGAGAACTCAGATACTAATTTGATTCCATGCAGGGAAGTGTCTTCCATTTCCTACATTTAGTGCTGCATGTACCCCATGTGTCGATGGATGGGGTTAGCTGACAATAGGGAGTTAGCTGCACAAAGCTGTTTAACCTTTCCACTTACACAGTCCTCTGAAGTATTTAAAGAATATCTACCTCTGAGCACTTTACAGGAAGGGTCTTTGATTTGTAGCACATGATTTACAGTATTTAAGAGCTCGGGAGATGTTGTTTAGGACAAGAAAGCTGAATGACTCATTCCCAATACCCTACAGAGCAATATTTATTTTAACATTCGAACGACCTAAATGACAGCTAAAGCATTTTACTTCTCCTTTGTGCTTTATCCTCTGCTTCAAATCTGAGGCCATCCACAGCAAATACTTCAGCTCATCTGCAGTGTAGTTCTCTAGAGTAAGGAGGTCCCGACCTTTCAGGTGAACATTCATTTGAGCTGGTGGCCCATACCTGTGTCAAAAGAGCAAAAAATGATACTTTTTTTTCATTCAATGCTAAATTGCACTCATAGAAAAGACATAGGTGATCTCATGTGCTGTTTGACAGGCTACAAGCAGAAAGTTGGGCTAGAGATCTGCTCCTGACCCTTATGCTCCCATGGCGATTTTGTATTATTGCTATGACCTTCAAGAAATGTGTTCTCTTCCCTGTTGTCCATATCCTCTGAAAGAGAGGCAGAAGTGGACAGGTAAATTCCAGAGAAGGAGCATGAGACAACATACAAAAGTTAAAATGTAACAGACAGAATTGCAAGGTCAAGCAGTTGACTTCTTCCTTTCTGAGCAGGGACAGTGCAACTTTGGACTAGTAGCACAGACTGTTAGGTTATCCTGCAGTATCAATCACAGTGTGCTTAGGCAGCAATGCTCACAGACAGTGGTGATAGCTTCTTCCAGCTTTATGATCTAACATTAAAAGAATCCTAAAAGTAATAAACTTTATGTGGGGAACTTAATTGGATTACTTCCTTGGAAAACCAGCTCTACTGCAGCTGCTTTCCAAAATTGTTTTTCTACCATCTCTGCTAGCTAGTGAAAGTTCCCACCAATTGCCAGCAGTGAAAATCCAAAATTCATAAAAAAATTATCACCAGGCTTCAGGACCACTTTAAAAATGTAGCAAATAAATCACAGAACTTGGAAAACATTTTGTTTTCATCTGATGCAATGTAGAAATGATAAATAAAAACAACTTATCGCATATTAGGATTCCTGTGAATGCGAAATTCCTGTTTATTGTTTTCTAGCACTAATCGCTTGTTACATAACCTGCTAATGCTGTTCTTATCGATGCTGACCTAAAAACATAGGAAGATGTGGAATTAAGTTTCAAGTCTTAAATTTTAACCTGATTCTGGGGATGTGACAAACACGAGAAGCAGCTCACTGAGAGGCTATCCTGGAGGTACTTTTCTGAAGGCACAGGAGACAGGCATTGCTATGTGGCTGAAGAAAGAACCCAAAGCCAGGTCACAGATGTAGGTCTACCTGTTTAACTTTGAACCTTGTATCACATCATGCTTTTCCTGCACACCTCCAGTGTATATACAGGCAAAAAAATACCGAGGCAGAGATTCACCTTGCACCTCCAAGACGGAATTCCCTCCCCATAGTGGTCATGATAATAGTATTAATGCAGAAGAATTTCTGGTACTTTATTCAGATATTTATTTATTGGCTACAGTCCCTGCAGCATACACTGGCATCAGGAAGAAATGTGCCTTCCTGACTTTGCTGCTAAATCCCACACAAAGAATTAATGGCATTCCACAAACATTAAAAGGGATAATCCTCCAGTCTCCAGAAGACAAAGTTTGCTGCCTTGGGAGGCAAAAGGGCACTGAAAATGCTGGGCAAAAACCCCAGTGCCTTTCTCTGAAACACTCACTCCTTCACAGGACTGAGCTGCTTTTGCCTCCAGATTTCTGACCAAATGTCACAGAAGAGCAGATAAAATTCAAGGATAAGCTTACCAAAACTGTCGCAGCAGCTGCTTGCTGGTCCCTCTTAGTTTTGCAATACTGACAAAGCTCCTTGCATTAAACAGCATCTTGTGTTTACTTTAAGGTTTCTCTCAGTCCCAGTGATACAGTTAAGAAAGGTGAATGAAGCAGAGACTGAGCTGTGCTGCTGCACAAATGAGGGAAAACCAAGAACCAAAGTCTTAGCTTTCTTAGCTGTCTTAGCTTTGGCAATCCCAGCCAGGGCTGGGCCAGGCTGGGGCTGACCCTGACGCTTTTTGTTGGTCAAACCCTACAGATCTCTCACAGGATCCATTGCACCACTCACAGTTTGTTCTCTTCTGTGTGGACCCAACATATCCTACTTGTGTCAATACCATTTCATAGCAATTTCATGTTTGTTAAATATTTGTACAGGACCACGTGCTGGTAGAAAAAGTCAAAGAAGGCTAGCAGGGTGCAGTGTGAGTGAGGGAGCTCCCTTGGAGACAGGAGCTCCCTGGCCCTAGCACAGCCCAGGCAGGGACTGTTCACCCTATGCAGTGAAAAAATTAGGGTCCTGGCTCCATGGGTGTGGGGCTGGGTAAGGCTTAAAGGCATATTCATGACCTCAGGGCCCTGATGAGAATGAAGAAGGACTACATTTAAAAATGTAAATTTTCCTTGGGTTTTATTTGGACCAAGTTTTTGATTGTGCTATGGTAGCATTAAGCAGCCCTGGGTAGGGCCCAGAAACTGAAATATTGCAGCCTGCATATCTCCTTACGCTAAACTGCTGGCTGTATAATCTGATGCTGGTCAACTGCTAAATACTAAAGCGATTTCATTTAAATTTCTACCTCTAAATATAATTGTCAGATAAGATTTTATGCCACCTGCACTGTAGGTGGTTTTGAAATATGACCATTACTTTTCTCATTTCTTCCTCTGTGTAAGGAGAGATGTACTAATGTAAATCAAGGTGATGGCATATCTGTCAGAGAAGATTATATTTTGAAATTGCAACGTGAGGATCATATAATTAAAATATACAGTAGAAAATATCTTGGCTTTCCCCTAAAGAGAGACTGCTGTGAAAAAGTAATGCAGGGTGATAGATCCTGATGGGATCTGGTGGGATTTGTTCAGGACCCCTCATGCCAACACTAACCCTGAGATGCTTGGAAAATGCAGCAGCTGCCAGGGGAAATATCAGGCAGAAGCAAGATCCAACAGAAATTGATAGGAAGGGAATGAAAGAGAAGAAAAAGAAAGCCAGGCCATGAATTTCCAATTGGTTGTCCTCTGGCAAATGTCTCCCATGGCCTTCAAGTCCAACCCCTGGGGACAGAGGGTATGTCATTAGTGACACTAGGAGAAGAGACTCCCAGGCACAGGGTGTGACTCTGGGGATGTTCTGTGCAGGGCCTGGACCTGTTCCCGCTGACCCTCGGGGGTCGCTCCCCACCCCGAGCATCCCTCCCTGCCCTCCCCGTCCCAGGGTGTGAATTTCAGAGATGTGATGTGCAGGGCCAGGAGATGGATCCGATGATCCTCGGGGGTCGCTCCCAGCCCCGAGCATCCCTCCCTGCCCTCGGCGTGTCCCAGGGTGTGAATTTCAGGGATGTGCTGTGCAGGGCTGGGAGGTGGATCCGAAGATCCTCGGGGGCGAGCATCCCTCCCCGTCCCAGCTCGTCCCAGGGTGTGACTCTGGGGCTGTTATGTGCAGGGCCAGGAGCTGGACCCGGTGACCCTCGGGGGTCGCTCCCAGCTCTGAGCATCCCTCCCCGCTCCGGGCGCGGCTGACTCTGCATCCCCCCGGCTCGTCTCAGGGTGTGACTCTCAGGGATGTTCTGTGCAGGGCCAGGAGGTGGATCCGAGGACCCTCGGGGGTCTCTCCCCGCCCTGAGCATCCCTCCCTGCCCCCGGCTCGTCCCAGGGTGTGACTGTCAGGGATGTTCTGTGCAGGGCCCGGAGC